GCTCATGAATTTGATTGTTCGTTTCTGTCTGGATTTGTTATTAAGTGGGCAATAGGCATCTTTGCTCGTTGCCATGTTCTAGTAGAAAATAGCTAAATCGCAGAAACCTGTCAGAACTTGTCTACTGAATTCCGTCCTGTCATTGAATAGATAAATAAAATAGGTGTTCAAAACTAATAGGTAGTCTGAGTATTTTGCCCTATAATCCTTGTAGAAGTCCTAAACTTGCCAAGGAAGTTACCTCATGGGACTAGATTTATTCATTTAGCTTGTGTATTATTCCCTAAGAAAAATGGGCTTTCATTTTATTGAATCTTGGCTTTTCAAATTATTTTCAAAACTACATTCTATGCTCTAGTCTGATGAGCTGCTAATTGTCGTCTTTAATTATCCCCTCTTTTGCGTTGCAGGTTGTTCCTGGTTTTGGACACGGAGTCTTGCGTAAAACAGATCCACGATACTCATGTCAAAGGGAGTTTGCATTAAAGCACTTGCCCGATGATCCGCTGTTTCAGCTGGTATGAATAACCCTGATCACATGAGGGTGTGCCTTTTTCATGCACACTTGAATCATAATTGTAAGTGCATCCTTTATGAGCTGACTTAGTCATTACCTTAACAGGTCTCCAAGCTTTATGAAGTCGTGCCTCCCATTCTTATCGAACTAGGCAAGGTAATTTAATTATTTTATTTTATGAATGTAAAGTATTTCACTAGAGTTGTCATTGCTGTGAATTACCTAATCTTTATCTTTCCCCCTCTGAAATATGCTTCTATCTTTTATATTGCATTGTAAAATTAATAGTTTCATTTACAATGTGTATAAAATCTTTTTATGGTGGCTGGAATTAGGATCTTTGATACTAAAGCTGAGTGAGAAATTGATGATTTTCACTCGATTATTATATCTGTCTTTGCTTATCAACCGAAGGAGCAATCTGATGCTGTATTTACCTGAAAATCTGCCATGCTTGTAGGTTAAAAACCCCTGGCCCAATGTAGATGCTCACAGTGGAGTTCTGTTGAACCATTTTGGTTTGACCGAGGCAAGGTATGATATTTCATGATATTTATTATTTTGTTCCTTGATATTCTGAAGCTGTTAACCGTTTTGAGATGATAATGTTCTTCAAATTCAATTGTGGGCAGATTTTTTACTGTTCTTTTTGGTGTATCAAGGAGTATAGGGATTGGTTCTCAGGTTCTTTCCCTCTCTATCTCTCTCTCTCTCTCTCTCTCTCTACCCTTCCACCAACCTTTCTCTAATTTAATGCTAATTGTTAACTTTTCGTTGTTTCTTTGTTGGTTCAGCTGATATGGGACCGGGCTCTTGGTTTGCCTCTTGAAAGGCCAAAAAGTGTTACGATGGAATCACTTGAAAATTACTGCAAGAAAGCAGCTTCGTCTTGAGAATTGGAGGGCTGTATCATTCACTTTCACTAATAATTGCTCTGATGAATTCATGGCTTTGTGTAGGATGTACTGAGGGGTGTAAAAAATTCGGGTTCTACTGTTTTTAGTTGAGTTGTTACAGGAAAACCTCAACACTAGATTATTTTTAAGTACTTGAAGAAATTTTGAAGTTACTTAGGCGCAGGGTGTTTTACTGCCCTTTGATTTTAATAAACACAGTGAAGAAGATATTTGGAATAAAAAGTATAGTCGAAGATGGCCCTTGCATTTTAGGCTTTTCTTTCTGATTTGGAGATGTTTACTGTAAAGCCGATGTAGTCACATTTGTAATTGCATTGGGCAATCATTTTAACACTCAATTTTTTCAGCCTTGTGCACTTGCGTTTGTGAGTGTAGAAAAAGTTACAAAATATTCATTTTGCACGATGTATTTTCTTCTGCTATGCTTGGTTTCTCTTTTTCTTTGTCATATTTTTTTTAGGATACTTCGGAAGTTAACTGGTAAACAGTAAAATGGGCGGTTTTGCCTCTCCTCTTGTATGCTCCACAATGAACCATGTAATATAAACGTGGAAGCCAGCGACTCTGACTTAATTTTCTAAACTTGATCTTTAGAAAAACTTTAGAAGAAAAAGGAGTTCCATTCCATATGAATTGTGAATTTATGAAAACTATCCTTTTCGCACATGCTCCTGCGTCTATGAGAGTTTTTTTATTTTATTTTTATAAATAGAATTAAAAAAGATAATAGGGAGTTGTATTTCGTAAAAATAAGATCCATTATCTGATATTTTTTTTAATTTTAATTTTTTTTAATATGAAAATGTGAATTTACTGTATTATCTTCATTTAATTAATAATTTCAATTCTTAATATTTGTATTAATTAAGAGTATTTTCTGGTATTTTGAATATTTCACCATTCTCTACATTTTGCTTTATATGTATTGATATAGATATAGATAATTAAAATAATTTCTGGTAACAAATCCATATGAAACCGCACGTGTGTATGAGAAAATTGGAATACATAAAGAATCCAAAACAAATGTTTCTATTTTCATATGAAAAAAGTCTTAAAATGTTAGAGCCGCTTGCATTACATTTGTTTGCGTCTCACTCACGAATTGATTGAAATTGGATGAAAATGGCATCCGTCTTGGGTGCAGCACAAGCACGACTTTCATCCCAGCTGCTTCGTCCAATACCTCAGAATCAGATTCCCATCACTCACTCCCTTAAAAGCAGCGCCGTTAAAGCAGCGCCTGTCGATTTCAGGTACTTTCAGGTTCTTCTTACCTCCTCAGTCTTCGTACCCATTTCATTTCTATTGTAACGATTCGATGTTCGTTTCTTATTCCGAATGGGTTTCTGAGCTCATTGTGGCGTATTTGTTTACGGATACTTCCTTAAGCGCGTTACCGTTTTAGTAATTGCATTATTTGGTGCTTATTCCTTTGCGAAACTTTGAGCAATTTAATTAGTTTGAGTGTTTCCTCTCTGAAAATGGTCGTCTAGCATTAGGCTGCTGTGAGTGAACCTTGTGGAAGAGAAATTTGCTGTTATGGAGTTGGGTGAGATACGGGCTGCCGCTTTTGTTCCTTAAGAAGAAAATGCAGTTCCTTTGCCTCTAAAGCCCCAACTTTAAACGCAGAATTAATATGACTCACAAAAGTTCCTCGTATAAATCAAAATTTTGGCTATTTATCAAGTGGTGAGGTAGGTTGAGCTAGGTTGGGGTAATAGGTTAGGATTAAGATAGGTCAAGGGTTCTTTTCCCTCCTCTCTAACCAAAAAAATCCAAATTTATTATCCAAATTTTGTTGTCACAAATATAGATAAAATAATAAAAAGAAAAAGGTACATGGTGGAAAATATGATGAAACTCATAGCCTTGGAGGCAATTTTTTACCATCTTCGTCTCACTTCTGAACTTAATGTATTTTTCTGTGGCTGAAATTTCCATCTCTTGTTCTTCGTTGTGTTGATATACTAATTGTAAACGTTCATGTTTTAGTTAACTAAGCTAGCAAGCACCTTACCCACATTAAGCTTTGAATTCTCATATATCCCTAAGCCCATGTCTGGACTCCACTAGACTGTATTTCTACAAATATGGATGAGTCATTTTCTTAGTTATGTATTTGGAGGGTCACATCCAATGCGGATGGACTGTTTTGATCTTATTAATTAACAATCGCTAAATTAATATATCAATATGGATAAGGCCCTTCAAGGTTGAAGGAAAATGTTTCCCAACTTTTCGGGTCGTTATGGCAAGTTCTAAGCCTATACTCCGTCGACAACTAGCATTATTTGTCATGGTTCCTATCTGAACAATAGATATGAGAATCTTTATGGGTACTTCATTCTGTCTACTTCCGTTTCTTGTTTTCTTGATTAGTTGGCTGAACAAGTAGAAAATAAGATGGTTGTTCATCGACTGCAAGTTAATGTCAAGATGATGTGAAATATCCTAAATTTAGTTTCTTTCTTTTAATCAGCTTGGAGAGGAATGTTTTGAGATTGAAAATAAGGGAAAGCTGGCACGCTGTGTCTGCATCAAACTCTAACTCTTCAAATGGAGATTCCGTTGAAGACAAATCAGGTGGGGTTAAAACCAATGATGCTGCACAAGGCCCTCCTTTGCTGACCATTGTGGCTGGATTTGTCGTCTTTTTTCTCTTATTTTGGATTTTGGGGTCAATTCTAATGTGGTTGATTGGTCTAGTTGTTAGATTTCCTCCACCTAAATAAGAAAATATTTTCATCAATTTTGCTGTTTATGTTAAAAAAGCATGTACTCATCTCTATATTTATGAACAATGAACATGAGTATTGGATCACAAATTTTTGTTTCCTTGCCTTTTTTTTCCCTCCTTTTGTAGAGACGAGTGAATGGAGATGTAATGTAAAACCTGATATATTCATTAATAAATTATTTTTCATTACAGGTCGATATTCTAGTTGATTAATTTTCACTTTGAAATTCGAGGCAAGAGGAATGATATCTCCTTGTTGGGATTTAATAAAACAGGCACAATATCATCTTTATGAGTCTGAACCCATATTTAGCATGATTGGTTTGATTTGAGTAATGCGCATCAAACACCGATAGCCATTTGAGCCTAATGACACTTCATCTCGTTTTAAGTAAGCTGATGGGCACCCTTTAATTGTGCCAAAGGTGTAAAGATCACTCATTTGAGAATTTTCTTGGTTGCATCTACCAAACGCGCAAACTCTCATGGCAATCTTCTGGGGGAGGATAGCTCGAGCAAAGGACCCTTATTTTGACTCTCCACTGGGCTTGGCCCGAAAATTAGCAGCTTAATTTGCTGTCGTTTTTACATGGAAAGTGAGTAATGCTGGAACCACCAAAACAAATCCAGGATTTTATGGGTTTATGTTGAATATAATTAGTACCAGTGTAGAACCTGGAACTCATCATCATTAGGAACAGTGTTCTACTTAGGCGGTTATAAGGATGGTTCAATATACAACAAAAACCCGGAACTTTGGAGAGGCTGAAAAATCTGAAACTTAACAGAGTTAGATATGTTTACAGTCTCTAAAAATGGACAACCAACACATATACATCAATGAGTACATAAGAAACAAAACATTTACACCAATTTGGTCTACTGGTATTTCTCTTCCCAACGTTGGAAGGTCCCAAGTTCAAATCTTCCCTCCACCATTGAAAAAATAATAATAATATCAAAATACAAATAAAAACAAAACAAAAAACTTAGCCATGTAAGAGCCTAAAAGAAGGAAGAATAAATTTCTTATTAGGAAGATCAAACAAACATGAAAAATGAAACTATATTAGAATAAGATTCAACAACTAATTGAAACTTTTCCCTTTTGCTTCTGGGCTGTCATCTGCTATTGATGAGGTAAAATTACGTCGTTCATCAGCATTGGCAGTAATAACTGGCATCCATACATCAGCAGTACCACTCAGCAGTGACTTCACCTGAGGATCTGAAGCCATCGCTGAAGATATCATCTCATCTACATCATCCAACTTTGCCGATAACTTATCCAACTCCTTGGCTATTTCCAGCTGTAAAGATGGTATGCAGATATACCAACAGAGAGAAGACATTGAAATGTTTACTTCATATATAGAATACATCGTTGTATTGTTTCAGATATGGTAAAACTTAGAGGAGAAATGAGGAAAACTTGGAAAAGAGAATGTATGTTCAAAACTACCTCATCCAGATGATGAGTTGACTTTGACGGAAGTTTAGTAACCTCTAATCCAAGGGCTTCAATTTTTGAACGCAATTCAACCTCTTCTTCATTGGTCAATGCTTCAACCTGCACAATATAAGTTATAGAAAATGTTCTTTTGATGGAAAGTCTCTTTTAGGTAAAAGTGAAAGGAAAACATTCAGACAAGCATCAAAAGGTAGCACCAAAACGAAGACAACATGGATCAGACCCTGATTTAGAAAAGTGTAATTCAGCACTAGACAAAAGGATAGTTGTCATCCCATTAAACCCCACAGTGACCCTCTTCTCCCAATAAGGTGATGCTTTCAATACTTGAGAACAAAGATGAAAGGATAAAGGAATCATGTAGCATACCAATCCAAGGCTTTGGTGCACTTGCAATGCTACTACATTCATGAATAAAAACACAATCTCCAAGCAAGGCTATGAGAAGGTTCTTATGACTGAATTTTCCAATTACTACCCTAAAAATTTGGCTGCAAGTCTTGCCTTATATTTACATTAACTGTAAAAATTCATTATAATCATATTATAAAACTTCATTATAGTCTTTCATATTATATTAATACCAATGACCCTCAGAAGAACGTATATAACTTCCTTTTCACATCAAGGAATTTATAATTAAACCATTTTAAGTGGCTATGCAAACTTTACAATCTGAAAACCTTCCTTGGAGTGAAAGGTTTGAAGGAGAGGTGATAATTCGCACCCAAAAATAAAAAACAAAAGATTAGGAAAAAGACGCATATATATTAAATGAGTAAGAATCATTTCTATCAATAGAATCATTTCTATCAATAAAACAAAAATATAGACCCGTGCAGTTACTCTTAAAATACAGGATATCTTTGTGTTTTATTTCAATTTCATGACACCTACATCCCTTGTGGCTTTCTCCTTGCTACTTATATCATTAATTTGATAGAAAATGAATCCTGTGCAGGGTGTATAACACTCATGTTTTACTCATTCACATCCATCACGAAATCACAACAATCCAGGCCCTAGATCCCCTTAATATCCAAACAAACTCAACAAAACAAAATTAGAGAGAGTGATGGATAAAACTTACTCCGTTGGATACGTCCTAATAGGTCCTATAGCAAACAAAATGGGCATAGATGTCATAAAATCACAAGAATGATATTGCTTCGTAGCAAGCATACACTTGTGCATCTTCCCCATCAATGGGACTTTTGGTCCAACAGATGACATCATCTTATTCACCCTCAGAAGATAAAGCTAGCCCAGACTCACCTACTTGCTTTTCAAATTTCAATAGAAAAGAAGAAGGATTTGGCATCATTACTACCAAGAAAGAGGCAGTGAACCTCAGTATCAATCTCAAATGCTGACCTTAAAAATTTTCTTTCAATTTTCTCTTTAGGATTTCAGTCACCTCTTTTGCATTGAGTTAAATCACAATAACTTATGCACGTAACACATAACGCGCTTGACATGGTCCAGAATCTCTTCCAGTGCTCACCTCTTAATTGGACATCATGTTGAAATATTTCCTACATACGTCCATGACAAGGTTCCTTTTTTAACAAAGTTGTACCACATCCGGCAGAAGAGACTTTTTTTTGTTTTGTTACAAAGATGGCCATATGGGATGGAGGAGAGGGGGGCGGGGGTTCAAATACTGCCCTTAAGTGTGCGGGTAAATGTTCACTACCACTGAAACTACAAGCTCTCACATTGTGTTACAGCATCACATTGCATAACAGTTTAGACGGGCATGACTGTCTTCAATGTTATCTTTAGCATACTAAGCATGAAAGAATATGGTTTTACGCAGGCATGTAGAATCATATAACCCAAGTACTCAAGAATCAACTAATACACAACAAATGGCTAACAATGACATCTATTAAATTATCAAATGTTTCTCATGAGAATCCAAATCAAGCCAAAAATTAAGGACCCACGTGCCCTGGCAAAACACATCCTAAAAAGCAAACTTTGACCTACGAATGGGATATATCCAAACTCAAGGAAGAAATATTACCATCCAAACACCTTAGAACACCACAAACTCAAACACCCAGATCATAAATTTCATCAAGACAAAACATAAAACGGTTGTCTGCCATAACCAGATGATTATAACCATGTTCCTATTCATAATTATGACATATGAAAACCGAAAAGGGAAGTTAGAGAACATACAAAAGCAAAGCGAAGCAAATCAAATCGGGCAAAATTGAATGAAATAATGGGTGAATTTGGAAAGAAGAGGATAATAACACCTGTTGGAGGATACCAGAGAGGAGCTGAAACAGTTGGGCATCTGGCTTCCCTTCCTCTGCCATGGTGTGGGATCATATGCGTTTGTTGAGATCTTTTTCGTTTTTGTTTCTGTTTTCAGCTCGTACCTAGGGAATTTATATGGGCAGCCGAAAATTTGCTTTGAGCACCCGATCATATGTCATAATATTTAGGCTAAAGTGCTACAGTGCCCCTTGAAACATTGGTCAATTCTCACTTTCCCCCTCAAAATTAAAGTGACTCACTTTATCCCATTGACCAATATTTTATATCTCACTTTGCCCCCTACCGTCAAGTCTGTTAAAAAAGCTGATGTGGCACTAATGGGACCTACTATTTGGCTAAACTAAATGTCATGTGTGAAAAAAAAATTAACAATTGTCTTTTAAAAATTATGGATTTAAGGCTTTGACCTCACTCATCCCCCACCAATATTCCTTCTCTTAATAAATTAGGTGTATATGAATATTTAAATATAAGAAATTTAAAAAAAATAAAAAAATAAAAAACCCATCATCTTCATCCCCAAGCCATCCTTCCCAGATTTCTTCTCGCTCATTTTCCCTCTCTCTCTCTCTCTCTCCCTTTCTTTCTCTGTGATCTCCCTCTCCCCTCTGTATATTCTTCTCCCCAACAACCTAGACTACCCCCAGCATCAGTGGCAACCCAGGCCCCACACCCACCCCCAGCCGAACCCAACCACCCCTCTCTCTGCAAATTCAAAAACCAACAAATTAAAAGAAAAAAAAATTCATTGTTTTTTATGTTTTGTGTTCGAAGGTCTGCAACCAAATTTGATGGCTTCCGAATTCAGCGAGATGGAGATGATGGGTTGTAGCTGCTGGACGTTTGATAGAAAAAGAGGCCAGGGCTCATCTGGGTTGTCGACGACTGTGTAGAGGGTTGGGGCTGGTGGAGTTAAGGGCGAGGGGGGGGGGGG